CCCCAAAACCCCAAAACCCCATGTGCTATAAATATGTGGACATCTGAGTTATGAAATTAAGTTTATTTCTTCATGATTTAATTCATAGATCATATATTATGATTGATGCATAGTCAGTTTCTAGCAATTTATTTCTTTAATTGAGATCGCATAATGGTATTATTCTACTAAATAAAGAATTCCATAACATTTTCAGACATATCTGCAATAGTCTTAAGCTTCTTAGAATTTTGTTTATTTTATTCTCTTAGCTTTTGCATTTTCTCCGTTAATTTTGGTACTTATGCTGCTAACTGCTTAGTTTATTCAATCTTTTTAGCTAACTTTCTTCTCATTTTATGTAAGTATCTGTTAGGACTGTAAACTTAATATTGAAACCTAATCATATCCAGTTAGAATTAATTAATGGTCGAGAAAAACTTCCTTTTTTGAAATTCATAAGCATATTTATTCTTATAATGCTCCTTTACATACTTTTTTAATCTTAGGGCCTAAACTATGACATCTTTAGCACTTTCCTGAGCTCTGTATTTATTTGTCTTTTACAAAAGTATTTAATATGCACTAGCTTCTTATGGTCTAAACTTTGCCCAAGAAAACACGATGCACACTAATATTGACAGCAAATATTGACTTCCAAGACAACTAATTATTATGATTGTTCTACCAGGAATAGTCGCTGGATATCCCTCACCATATCCAACACCGAAAAAGGTTTCAATTTACAACCAAACCTGATTAATGTAGAAGCGCATGAATTCATACCAATGAATATCCGTAAGCTCAGAGTTATAGTAATTTCTAAAATGTATAATACTATATTAGTTATTATTACCTTTCAAAGCCAAAAAGGAAAGCTGAAATGTATATTATTAAGGCAGTTGCAACCAAGAGTAATCCCATAAAATTATAGTTATTTATATCAGACTTCAAGCCAAAAATTTCATCTGTTTATACTCCTAATCTGTTTGATATTCTCTTGGCTTCATAGTTAGTCCAGATTGAGATATGCTAATACACTCTCGTTACTAGATATCCTTTGAATAATGTGAGACTAGTAAAAATCATATCGACGCTATAACTAACTGTTCCTCCGTTTGTGTTGAAAGTAAGAATACCATTCAATCCTGGAGGAATAAATACGCAGCAAATCACTATCTCAATTACAAGAAAAATTTTATAGTCAGGATTCCATATGGATGGATACGAGAAACCTCCATTTATTATCTTTTTCATTTAGAGATCATATTGGTAGTGCTTTACCACACTAAACACTAAAAATGCAGCGATTATCATGCCAGTTACTCTCATGATAAAAATCTATGATTACTTTGAATCAGAAACTTTAGTCAATACTCCCTAAAAGGATTTTAGCTAGGACTCCTCATATATTCTATTTTCATTGAATTACAACCATCCATGTCCAAGTCCAAAGACTGCCCCAGCTATGTGATTTAACATAATTTTTGCTTTCAAAATTTCCCTTTTCTTAACTATGTTATAGACATTATATTGATCCTTATCATTGACATTCTTCAAAGACTTTAATCCTCTGGGTAGTAAATTAAGTAGAAATTGCTTTATTCTCTCTTTCCTACTAAGCTTTTCTTTAGGTGGTTTACTTTTTAACATGTAAGATCTTGTGCCTTCCTTTTTTATTGATGATCCAAAAAAGGTGCTACCTCTTTTTTCAGTCTCATTTAACAACCCAAGCAATTTGAAAGGGTTTCTCCCACCTCCATTTGTGTTATTTAATTAGTTGTCCTGTAGGTTTTTATTGGGACTTTCATCTTTATCAATAATTTATGAGACTATTTAATCGAATATAAAGTCATCGCCTCCTTGATTGATATGCTTTCATGTTGGTATTGATTTTATCATACTATTTTGAAAAGTGTCTATTTAGTATTGTCTCAAACTTATAACATCCTTTTAGCTAGGCAATAAATCTTGATCAGTTGCAGAAATGAAAGATTGATTCTATTAACTGACTGATTAATCTAGACTTGTAGGTATATTCAGTTATATTTCTGAGCCTAGCATCTGCCTCATCTTTTTAAAATCATTCATACTTTGATTTTATAATATTATAAAGTAATTATATCCATTTCTAGAATTTTAAAAACCCTTAAATCTAAATAGAACTGCTTTATGGGGTTTTGGGGTTTTGGGG